ATACGACCGCAAAAAAATTTTGCGGTCGTATATTGGTATGACGTTGGCGTCGTCGTCGTCACCCGAAGACACATTGGTTTTCGCACTCTAACTTTAGTTTAAGTGAATGGATCTCTATGAAATTTTACCATAAGGTTCAATACCACAAAAGGAAGGTTGTGATTGATTTTGGGGTTATGGTACCAACAGTTTAGGAATTTGGGGCCAAAAAGGGGCCAATAATAAGCATTTTTGTAGATTCCAGACATAACTTGTGTGTTAGTGTATGGATCTCTCTGACTTTGTACCACAAGGTTCCATATCACAAAGGGAATGCTGGGATTGATTTTGGGGGTAATTGCCTCAAAATTTTAGGAATTAGGGGCCAAAAAGGGGCAAAAAACAAGCATGTTTCTAGTTTCACGATAATAACTTGTGTGTAAGTGTATGGATCTTTCTGAAATTGTACTACAAGGTTCCATATCTCAAAGGGAAAGCTGGAATTGAGTTTGGGGGTAATTGTCCGAAAAGTTTAGGAATAAGGGGCCAAAAAGGGGCCAAAAATAAACATTCTTCTAGTTTCCAGACAATAACTTGTGTTCAAGTGTATGGATCTCTCTGAAATTGTACTGCAAGGTACCATACCACAAAGGGAAGGCTGGGATTGATTTTGGGGGTTATTGCCTCAAATTTTTAGGAATTAGGGGCCAAAAAGGGGCAAAAAACAAGCATTTTTCTAGTTTCAGGACAATAACTTGTGTGTAAGTGTATGGATCTTTATGAAATTGTACTAAAAGGTTCCATATCACAAAGGGAAAGCTTGGTTTGAGTTTGGGGGTAATTGCCGTAAACGTTTAGGAATTTGGGGCCAAAAAGGGGCCTAAGAACAAGCATTTTTCTAGTTTCCAGACAATAACTTGTGTTCAAGTGTATGGATCCCTCTGAAATTGTACTGCAAGGTACCATACCACAAAGGGAAGGCTGGGATTGAGTTTGGGGATGATGAATCATAAGGGGGTTCAAAAAATTTGGGTGAGGAATTTTTTTTTCTTTAAAATTTTCCATTTTAAATTGGTTATTTCTGACTTATATATAAAAGCAAATAATAATGATATGGTTTGAATAGGTAAATTAAAATTTTTTAAGTTCTTAGACCACATTCATTCTGTGTCAGAAACCTATGCTGTGTCAAATATTTAATCACAATCCAAATTCAGTGCTGTATCAAGCTTGAATGTTGTGTCCATACTTTCCCAACTGTTCAGGGTTCGACCTCTGCGGTCGTATCAAGCTGTGCCCAGCGGAGCATTTTATTAAAAGAGTTATGCCCCTTGGTAACATTAATTATATTAAAAATTGCATCGTTAGCACTCTCATTTGGTCAATTCTTGCCAGATTTTTATGAAACCTATATCATAGGTTTATATCAGCAATGTCTTGGACGAGTTCGAAAATCAGTGCCGATCAATTATTTTTATACGACCGCAAAAATTTTTGCGGTCGTATATTGGTGTGACGTTGGCGTCGTCGTTGACGTCGTCGTCCGAAGACACATTGGTTTTTCGCACTCTAACTTTAGTTTAAGTGAATGAATCTCTATGAAATTTTACCATAAAGTTCAATACCACAAAAGGAAGGTTGGGATTGATTTTGGGGTTATGGTACCAAAAGTTAAGGAATTAGGGGCCAAAAATAAGCATTTTTGTAACTTCCAGACATAAGTTGTGTGTTAGTGTATGGATCTCTCTGACATTGTACCACAAGGTTCCATATCACAAAGGGAATGCTGGGATTGATTTTGGGGGTAATTGCCTCAAAATATTAGGAATTAGGGGCCAAAAAGGGACAAAAAACAAGCATTTTTCTAGTTTCATGACAATAACTTGTGTGTTAGTGTATGGATCTTTCTGAAATTGTACTACAAGGTTCCATATCACAAAGGGAAAGCTGGAATTGAGTTTAGGGGTAATTGCCCGAAACGTTTAGGAATAAGGGGCTAAAATGGGGCCAAAAATAAGCATTTTTCTAGTTTCCAGACAATAACTTGTGTTCAAGTGTATGGATCTCTCTGAAATTGTACTGCAAGGTACCATACCACAAAGGGAAGGCTGGGATTGAGTTTGGGGGTGATGAAGCATAAGGGGGTTCAAAAAATTTGGGGGGGGGATTTTTTTTTTTTTTCCTTTTTTTTTCTTTTAAAATTTTCCATTTTAACTTGGTTATTTCTGATTTATATTTAAAAGCAAATAATAAGGATATGGTAGGAGATACACACCAAACAGGATGTGTAAATTATTATATAATAAGTATTGTGCAATAGCAAGAAATTTTCAATTGCACAGTATTGCACAATAGCAAGAAATCTTCAATTGCACAGTATTGCGCAATAGCAAGAAATCTTCAATTGCGCAATAGCAAGAAATATCCAATAGCACAATATTGCGCAATAGCAAGAAATTGTCAATTGTGCAGTATTGCGCAATAGCAAGAAATATTCAATTGCACAGTATTGTGCAAAAGAAGATACTTCGTATAAATTGCTTATTTCTTGACCATTTTCAATGGGGTTTTATTCTTGAATTTTTGGGGTTCTTTAATATGCTGAATCTAACCGTGTATTAAGTTTTTGGATTTTGGGCCCCGTTTTTAAATTGGTCAACATTGAGGTCCAAAAGGTCCAAAATTAAACTTTGTTTGATTTCATCAAAAATTGAATTATTGGGGTTCTTTGATATGCCGAATCTAACCGTGTATTTAGATTCTAAATTTTTGGTTCCGTTTTCATATTGGTCTACATTAAGATCCAAAGGGTCCAAAATTAAACTAAGTTTGATTTTAACAAAAATTGAATTCTTAGGGTTCTTTGATATGCTGAATCTAAACATGTATTTAGATTTTTGATTATGGGCCCAGTTTTCAAGTTGGTCCAAATTGGGGTCCAAAATTAAACTTTGTTTGATTTCAACAAAAATTGAATATATGGGGTTCTTTGATATGCTGAATCTAACCATGTATTTAGATTTTTGATTTTTGGGCCCTGTTATCAACTTTGTCCACATTGAGGTCAAAAGGGTCCAAAATTAAACTTTGTTTGATTTCATCAAAAATTGAATTCTTGGCGTTCTTTGATATGCTGAATCTAACCATGTATTTAGATTTTGGATATTGGACCATAATAGGTGAATGTCCAATTTAAAATTTTTAAGTTCTTAGACCACATTCATTCTGTGTCAGAAACCTATGCTGTGTCAAATATTTAATCACAATCCAAATTCAGAGCTGTATCAAGCTTGAATGTTGTGTCCATACTTGCCCCAACTGTTCAGGGTTCGACCTCTGCGGTCGTATCAAGCTGCGCCCTGCGGAGCATTTGATTTGAAAAGTTATGCCCCTCGGAAAAAAAAATTATATGGAGAACTGCATTGTTAGCGCTCTCATATGTACAATTCTTGCAAGAATTTTATGAAACTTAAAACATAGGTTTATATTAGCAATGTCTTGGACGAATTTGAAAATCAGTGCTGATCAATAATTTTTAAATATTAATTATAAGGAAAATATCAATTATATGGAAAATTGCCTTATGAGCGCTCTAATGTGTACAGTTCTTGCCAGATTTTTATGAAATTTATATTATAGGTTTGTATCATCAATTTACTTGTAGAGTTCAAAAATCAGCGCCGATCAAGAATTTTTAAAAGAGTTATGCCCCTTGAAAATATTGACTTATATGGAAAATTGCAATGCTATCGCTCTCATGTGTTAAATTCTTGCCAGAATTATATGAAACTTATATCATAGGTTTATATCAGCAATGTCTTTGACACTTTCGAAAACAGGTTCTGATCAAATATTTTAAGCAAGTTATGCCCCTTGGAAATATATAAATTGTAATGGAAATCACATTGCATTTGCTCTGAAGCCTTCCTTTCTCTTTAAATATTAATAAAAGGTTTTAAAGAACAACAAAAAAAGGGCTTTTTTTAGTAATTGCCCTTGTACCTTGGATAGATAAAATATGTGCAACGCGGGGGACATTGGAACTCTGTTCTTTTGTTGCCATGGCATTGTCATTTCCTTTTCCACTTACAAATTTGACTATCCTTTGGTAGCTTCTGCCTCTCTTTCATACTGATTTCTAAATATTTGCTAATTATTTAAGAAAATTATGTAGATAGGTATAAACTGTAAACAGTAAAAAGGATCATCACTACCTCCAAAAATGCCACTTGATAAAGATTTACAAATAAGCAAGCATAACTGATTATAATAAAAGTTATAAATATCATAATGGCATATGTTTACCAGATGAGCGATTCAGGCACTTAGGAGCGTCTTGTTAAGATCAAGGTATAGATTTTATAGATAAAAAAGATAAACAAGCTGCTTGAATAAACTTTAATCATCCTCTATAATGTTAAAATTGAAATTTTTAAAGCAGTTGGTTTAGAGTGATGGGTGCACGTGTGATTGTCCATCCGTCTGTTCGTCCTACTGGCCCACTTTTGTATTCCCTAATGCTCCTGAACAACTGAAACTTTCACAAAATGTTCCTTTGCACCTCCTATTTCATTATTTTATCCTGGCATGACATGGACCTACCCACACACTACAGTATGTGTTTATATCTGCTTTTTCTCCTAAGCCCCTTATCAGAATTTGATGAAACTTTCTCAGAATCTTCACAATACAAGATCATTGTGCACCTTTTATTAAGTTTTTTTATCCAATTTTTTTTTAGGGTTTCCCTTAGCAAATTCCCATTGCTTGTTGAGAGGGCAGGAGTATCATTTCGTGAGCTTTGCTTGCATTTCCTCTATCATAGCTAAAACAATACTTTTACAACAAATTTCATAAGTAAGCTGATTCATATATAGACTTCTTACTATTGAAAATCATAACATTTTCATAAGATTTAGTGATTCATATATGAAGTTGTACCCTTCTAGTTGTTTTAAGTTTTACAGTGTTACACATAATTAACTTAATCATGTTAATGTATCCAAAAATATTTGTTTCAGCTGTTTTCCAGGAATATTCATATTAAATTTTCTCTGGAGATAATGAAGAAACTGAACAAAGTGAATGAACTTAATGGTCAAATTATTCCATATAATCATTTCTACATTCCTGAACTGAGGGACAAAGTGGACATTAGGGCTGATTATGTTAACTGGGTACAACAGTCAAGACTGATAAACTCTGTAAGTTGTACTAGTGATCGCAACAAATATATGAATATTCATTCCTGCCAACTTTCGAAAATCCCCTTTGGAGTTTTAATGTACGACAAGATATTTAGGCGTTACAAATTTTCACGGCGTTTTAGTGTGCGCTGTTTTCTACTCTAAAACTAGTGTTATATCTTTTTCTTTCTTATGGTATACTGATGATGAGCCCCTTTCTTTTCGTTTTTATGCCCTGCCGTAGCGAAGGGGGCATTAAGTTTTACCCTTGCAGTCTGTACGTACGTACGTCCCAAAATTGGTTTCTGTTCTCTAACTTGAGTTTGCCTCAACCAAATGTTATGAAACTTATAAACAATGCTAATTACCACAAAACAAAGATCAAGTGTATATTTTGTTGGCGTCACTTTGACCGTTCTAGAGTTATGCCCCTTTATAAATGGAAAAATTGCAAAATTTTTAGTTTCTGTTCTCTAACTTGAGTTCGCCTCAACCAAATGTTTTGATACTTATACACAATGCTAATTACCACAAAACACAGATCAAGTTTGAATTTTGTTGGCGTCACTTTAACCGTTCTAGAGTTATGCCCCTTTATAAATGGAAAAATTGCAAAATTTTTAGTTTCTGTTCTCTAACTTGAGGTCGCCTCAACCAAATGTTATGAAACTTATACACAATGCTAATTACCACAAAACACAGATCAAGTTTGAATTTTGTTGACGTCACTTTAACAGTTCTAGAGTTATGCCTCTTTATAAATGGAAAAGTTGCAAAATTTTTAGTTTCCGTTCTCTAACTTAAGTTTGCCTCAACCAAATGTTATGAAACTTATACACAATGCTTAATACCACAAAACACAGATCAAGTTGGAATTTTGGTGGCTTCACTTTTACCGTTCTAGAGTTATGCCCCTTTATAAATGGAAAAATTGCAAAATTTTTAGTTTCTGTTCTCTAACTTGAGGTCGCCTCAACCAAATGTTATGATACTTATACACAATGCTAATTACCACAAAACACAGATCCAGTTTGAATTTTGTTGGCGTCACTTTAACCGTTCTAGAGTTATGCTCCTTTATAAATAGAAAAATTGCAAAATTTTTAGTTTCTGTTCTCTAACTTGAGGTCGCCTCATCAAAATGTTATGAAACTTATACACAATGCTAATTACCACAAAACACAGACCAGTTTGAATTTTGTTGGCGTCACTTTAACCGTTCTAGAGTTATGCCTCTTTATAAATGGAAAAATTGCAAAATTTTTAGTTTCCGTTCTATAACTTAAGTTGCCTCAACCAAATGTTATGAAACTTATACACAATGCTTAATACCACAAAACACAGATCAAGTTGGAATTTTGGTGGCTTCACTTTTACCGTTCTAGAGTTATGCCCCTTTATAAATGGAAAAATTGCAAAGTTTTTAGTTTCCGTTCTCTAACCTAAGTTTGCCTCAACCAAATGTTATGAAACTTATACACAATGCTTATAAACACAAAGTAAAGATCAAGTTTGAATTTGGTGAGGTCACTTTAACCATTTTCGAGTTATGCTCATTTATAAATGGAAAAATGCTCATTTATAAATGGAAAAAAATGCAAAATTTTTTGTTTCCGTTCTATTACTTAAGTTGCCTCAACCAAATGTTATGAAACTTATACACAATGCTTTTAACCACAAAACACAGATCAAGTTGAATTTTGGTAGCGTCACTTTAATCATTATTGAGTTATGCTCCTTTATAAATCGAAAAATTGCAAACTTTTTAGTTTCCGTTCTGTAACTTAAGTTTGCCCCAACCAAACATTATGAAACCTATACACAATACTTATTACCTTAAAACTCAGATCAAGTACAAATTTTGGTAGCTTCACTTTTATCGTTCTTGAGTTATGTCCCTTTATACAATGTTGTATGCAAGCGGGGGCATCATCTGTGGGGACACATTCTCCATTTATATTTATATGATTCTTGTACTTGTTATTGTGTAGAAAAGATAGTACATGTAGCTAGAATACTAGCAGATATTTTCTTGTGTAGGAATAGTTATTGTGTTATTGTGCTATGGTCATTTTTCGTATTCTTGTCTTTCATTTTTGCTTATGTGCTTTGTCATATGCCATTTTGTTTTTCTTTGTTGACATATTTGTTTGTTTTTATAGTGATTAAGATTATACACAATGTTGACTGCTGTACCCCTATTTTTGACATTTTTTACCTGCCAATATTATGTCTGTTTGTTTTGTTCACACATTGTTGTCAATATGAAGGAATTTTATGAGACTGTCATACAAGTGAGAGGTTTAGCTAGCTATAAAACAAGGTTTAATCCACCATTTTCTACATAAGTAAATGCCTGTACCAAGTCAGGAATATGACAGTTGTTTTCCATTGGTTTGATGTGTTTGAGCTTTTGATTTTGCCATTTGATAAGAGACTTTCCGTTTTGAAAATTCCTTGGAGTTATGTATTTTTGTTATTTTACTTCTGACTTTTCCAATTTGAAAATATGAAGAAAGAAGAACATTTATATGATTCCTTTGAAAAATAAAAGACAGTACTTTAAACGATTTGATAATTTACAGGTAATAACAAGAATGACAACACTGTATGATCTGTTACAAGAAGTGTTATGTCCATAACCTACTATTTAATAAGTAGCACTGAAGCTCAAATTATATCAAAGAAAGGACATTTCATTGACTTGTATTGAATTTGTTTCATATTTTTATAGTCCGATTGAATCAACATGCATACATTAATGAAAATGTCTTATAAACAGCTCTTTTGTATTAACTGTACATGCTTGCTTGATCATCTTGAGTTGCTCATCATCTAGTCGTACAAAATAGTTACTGACACAGACTTGATAGTGTTCTTTGCTATGACGAATTTCTGATGAAGTTAACAGTCATTGCATCAGATGCTTTGAAACGTCATTCAGACCACCGTGGTCAATGTTCAAGTCAATCCAGTGTCTATTGCAGACTTTGCTTAAAACAAATCCTTGCAAAATGCATGTGATATACCTATTGTTGAATTTGTCAATAAGCCACGCTTTTCTTTATAAGAGGCGTAAGAACCTTCTTGCAGATTAAAAGTTGTCCACCATTTTGGACAATTCTGATATACAGAAAGAGGAATACAATCAAAAGTTCCAAAACATTTTGAATTTTTGTATCTTGAAAATGCTGTGCACCATAATCAAGAGAAACACCGATTTTGATAGGCTAATTAACTTAATTTTGAGAAATACCAATTTCGGCTAATTATGCTTGTCTTTCTTGAGAAAAGTTCAAAATCGGGGACCAACATATTTTTCTTGTAGATTTTCACAAAATCTTGTTTTTACAAATGCGAGACATAAGAATTACAATCCGGCAGCTGTAACATAAACTATTTGTATTATAAGCTTAACTTTTCAGAGGGCAGAAGACTGGAAGGCTTTATACCTTGTATACAGATACCTTATGTTACGAAGTTTCCGTCTGTCATATGTACACTGTCCTTGACCTCAATTTCATGGTTCAGTGACTGCTTGAATTTTTTTTTTAGTTTTTTTATACGTGGATTTCTCACTTATTATGAGTAATAAGATAACTGTATTTTATGACAAAATACAATTATCAAAATACTCATAATAAGTGAGAAATTCACTAATAAAAAAACTATGCCTTCCTTGTAAGGTCTTAATGTCCGTCAGACAGGGTTCATCTGACCTCAACCTCATTTCATGGATCAGTGATCAAGGTTATTGTTACATGATTAGGTCTGTTTCTCAGATACTGTTAGCAGAAGGTCAACTATAGTTGGTGTATGGATGGTTGTAAGGTGTAAATGTCAGTCTGGCATATTTTATTTGACCTTGACCTCATTGTCACGGTTCATTGGTCAATGTTAAGTTTTTGTTTTTTGGTTTGTTTCTTGTATACTTTAAGCAAAAGGTCAATTATATTTGGTGTATGGAATGATTGTAAGGTGTACATGTCTGTCAGACTGTGTCTGGCAGGTATTATCTGTCCTTGACCTCATGTTCATGGTGCATTGCTCAATGTTAATTTTTCATGGTTTGGTCTGTTTGTTGTATAGTATAAGCAATATGCCAACTGTATAATAGGTGTATGGCATTATTGTAATATGTACATGTCTGTCTGGCTTGATTTATTTGTCCTTGACCTCATTGTCATAGATCATTGATAATGTTAAGTTTATGTGATACTTGTAGTTTAACTTAATCTTTAGGACTATTAACATAAAATCAATCATGGCTAGTCAAGCAAGCGAGACTTTTCAGCTTGTACATTGTTGTTTTCGCAAAAAGTGGCAAAAATATATTATAAGCACAAAATAATGATGTCATTATACATGTTATCACAAGTAATTGGTAAACATATTTTCTTGAAATGGCTCTAATATTTATAATACAAAATCTAAAGATTTTTCTAATGTCAGGCTATTGTTCTAACTGTAGATTATTTTTCAAGAGCCACTGGTGGTAGGTCAATGATATTTGGTATTCAGTTGTATTAGCATTGGCACATCTCATACCAATATAGATTATTTGGCCCCGCCCCCTCAGTCATGGTCTATTGACTTTGAAACTTTTGCTTAATTTACATGTTTTTGTTTGTAATTAGGTGAGTTTATGGGGAACCACTAGTGGTAGGTCAATGACATTTGGTATGCAGTTGTATAAGCATTGGAACATCTCATTTCCATGGAAATTATTTGGCCCTGCCCCCTCAGTCATAGTCACTTGACTTTGAGTTTTTTGCTTAGTTTACATGTAATTACATGTTGTTTAATTTGTGTGTTAGCTTTTTAATATTAAAAAGTGGTGAAGTCCTCAGAGATAAACTCTTTAAGACTTTTATAATTTCTTTCCTTATCAGTGTGCAGTATTGCCTACTTTAGAAGATCAGGTACATATTGAATTTGCTGGTTGGTCTTTTTTTTAGACTTCTATATATATTTTTATTTTACGTATTGATGTATTACTTAACAGATAATAATAAGAA